ATATATATATATATATATATATATATATATATATATATATATATATATATATATATATATATATATATATATATATATATATATATATATATATATATATATATATATATATATATATATATATATATATATATACATACTTCATGCTTTGTAAAATATCACCAAAAATCAAACGGGGTGTTACCAGTGGTACGCACCATAAAATATTATGCGCTTTTTTCAACTTTCTTTTGTATATTTATGTATAAATTATATGTTGCATTTTATGAGCCCCAAAACATTTAATGATTTTTCAGTGGTTCGTTCACACATTTACCTCTTATGTGCCCCAAATTATTTAATGTTTTTTCCCAGCGTTTCGTTTACGCACCAGTATTTTTTGTATGTTTCGAGTTTTTATTCTTTTTAACACATGTAATGTATTCTTAAGTGCAACAAAATAAATAATTTGAGAGAAAAAAAGTATTTTTTTTTTAATTTTTTTTATGCTTGGGATAATATGGGTTAAGACGCCGATTCTCTGAGGATGGAAGGAAATGTTCCAGATCGGCCACTTAAAGCAGCACTCCCACTTCTTGCCCGATGATTGTCGAATAGACGATAAAACTTTAAATTGATATTGTAGGTAATTATAAAAGCATGACTCATGCCGCAAAATACGTATGTATGGCGGTATATTCGTAGTTTCTTAGAAAACATTTTAAAACCACTCGTTTGTTATGCCGTAGTAGCATATTGGCAATCAAAAGTCAATCGAGCGTAGCTATCTTGTCGGTCATCAAAAAATTGTTGTACGCTCGAAAAGATCGAATTTAATTATATGGTTTCCGTTTAATTGAAAAACGACCGGCTGCGATATAAAAATCCAGTTAATTGGATATTTTCCTGCGATTTTTATGACTGGAAGGTGTATAATAAATAAAAGATTCATAATCGCTTATTCGGCCGTTATTTTGGCAACGTGCGGGAATTACGGGTGAATAGTAGAAAAGGCGCTTATAGGAAAACGAGAAATTTTACTACGAAGGTCTCGACGTGCGTTTTCAAAAATAGACCGTTCGACAGCCACTGTCTGTGTACGTTGGCCTTGAGAGTAAGTCTCCCATGCTATAATTAGCACAATCAACTCGTATGTATGTATATGCCGGCATTTATAATAATCTAATATGCAATATGTTTATGATTACAGTAATAAAAACGGCGCGATGTTACAATCGACAACTTCTATGGTCTGCGTAGGAAATAGTGTCACATTTTTCGAGAAAACCACACTTCTCTTTACAAAATAACTAAGAACTAAAAGTTCAGATTTTCAATAAGTGACTACTGCTACTATATATACCGAAAAATGACCATAAAACCTTAATTAATGTTGTTGTGAGAATTTAAGTTTGGAGAGGTATCTAAATCTAATTTTGTTAAGATCCATGGCTTCCATTAACTCATTATAGAATCGTATAAAATTGACGTAAGAGATTGATCAGTATGACTATTGATTTTTTAGACTTAACTATTACGAAAACGCAAAACAAATTAGATTTTTCCATTTACCATAAAACCTTCACACACAGACACAGTCGTACATAACAGCTCAAATCACACACAAAATGGCTGCATTTCACTCTTTTATACACAGACTTCTTAATACGCCACTCTCAACAGCAAATTACAACAAAGAACTTAATATCTTTAAACAAATTGCACTGAACGTCTACAATCCGTGCATTATGGATAAAATGATAAATAAAAAACAAATTCAGACAACAGTAAACTCAAGTAAAAGCTACCTCAGTTCAATTCAAACTTCTCTTTTCCTTTTGTCGTAGTGATGTGGTTGTTACAGTGGCTTGGTGATTTTCATATTGGAAGCTTTGGATTTTTTTAGGTGCGTAGCCGCGTGCTATTTCCAGGGATTTTTTTGCGAAAAAAGTGTATACCGGGTCTAAACTAATTCATAGCTCGGTATTCTTATTTATATACAGAGAGTTTTAAAAAAAGTTTTTTTAATACTGTTTTTCAAATTAAATCACATATTTTCTTGCGGATTTGGCAGCGTTTTTTCTAGTGATCAAAAACTAAATAGTAATAAATAAATAAATATTACGTTATTTTACAATAAAATAGTTTTTATTTTTTTATCTCACAGCGAGATATGAGACAAATTCAAGAGACAAAGTAGTAGCAGTCTGTCTCAGGAGAGGATCGAAATTTTATAAAGTTGTCCCTCCGCCCCTATCAACGAATCAATTTAAAAAAAACTACTTAAAAAAATACATTGCCCCTTTTTTAAAATACTCTGTAAATCGGCAACGGTTAAATTAGAAAAAAGTTGTCAAATTTAAATCTATATAAAAAATTACTTTGCCAGTTCACTTTTTTTTTTAGTTTCGGAAGTACATATTTACTAGGTGAAACGTGAAATATCTCTTGATTTTTGAAAAAAAAAAGGTGAATGAAACCTTTATTACTTTTCACGGATCTCAATTTTTTTTTTGTTTTTTGTTTTTCTTGGGCATTCCGTTTTTTGTATTAATTATAAAAATAAATATTTATCTTCTAGAACTTAAGTAAAGAAGAAGCCAACAGGATGATTGGTCAGTAAGCGGCTACATCAGAACAATACAATGCAATTCGTACAAAATTATTTTTTATTTTAAATGTTAGAACATTTAAGGATTATTAATAATTCAACGGGTAACGTTAAACATTTTTGGTAGCGTATACATTTTTTTTTCTTTTTGTTTACCCCTAATATTTTTCTAAAATTAACTTACTAAATTGTAAATATTGCTTAACTAGTAGTATTTAAAATGCTTAGAAACGTCAACTCTTCAACTATTTAAGAAAAAGCTAAATTGGAAACTATTTATTTTATTATTATTTATTTATTATTATCTTCGTTAAAATTTTGACTTTGTGTTCACCACTCACACATAAAGATAACTTTAATCCTTTTTGCACATTCTACATACCATGCAAGCCAATGACAAATCAAGATTTATAGAAAAAATGCTCTTTTCGAAAGGAACGCCATTTTTTTTCATTTTTTAGGAGTTGAATGATAAAATTACAGTTTTTAGAATGTTTTTTTAGTATATTATTTTTTTTATTTTTAAATATATTGTTATCTAGCCGTTTTTAGTTTTGCCATTTCACTATACTAGGTTTTAAGCTGATGATATTTGAATTCTCAATAAAGTCCATTATCATTATTATAATTTTAAGCTTTTGTAAATATTCCGTGATATTTCATTTTTTATTTCATTGAATTAAGCTAGCGTTAAAACAAGCGCTTTTCGACTAATCCAATGGAAAGGTTATTTGTATATATTATATTATAGTTAAAATTTATAAAATTTTAGTCATATATTACTAAACGGCAATTTATTCGCCTGTATTCAAAGAGTTTGCGCGCGTGCAAGTTGGATTTCGTTATTAATAGACAACGAACGAAGTCGGGGTCTTTGTGTTACGCAAGTTCGCTAGTCCAAGGCCAGAGAAAGTTGATCTGCCTGCGTCCGCCACGCTGCCGGACCGCTACTGGATTTACGGGAAATGACACGCGGTTTTAACGTCTCCTCTCGAACGATTTCGTTTGAAAAAAAAAATTAATTTTTTCACGTGCCCGCGTACACGGGAAATCATTACCCGTCTGGCAACGTCGCGATAAGTAACTCGTTACGTTACGGGTCGAATTGAATAGGAAATATATTTTTTAAATTTTTAAATCAACGTTTTTGATAACAACGTAGCCGCACAATGTGCGAATTTTTTTTTTTTTGAGTATTTCCTGATTGATGGCGGTCCCACCGTGAGAAACGGGCTTCTCGCAAAGGTAGAAACCTAACAATCCCCGATAAAATAAAATAAAGAACGAAACCGGTTTTTGCTTTTGAACATTCATATTTTTCCACGTATATTCGGGGGCTTTCATTTTCATTTGAATTTTTTCCAATATGTCTGTATGTCTCTAAATTTTGAAGGGGCTATTATTCGGCTACTAACAGAACAGTAAAAATTGCAAAACAAAATTGTTTTTAAAAAATTATTTGCCCTCCATGTAATCCATTATTTAAAAAAAAGAAACGATTGCTTTCAAAAAACTGGAAAAGTTATTAGAAGAAATTAAATGAAATGAGAAAAAAAAACTGGAACAATTTTCTCTGAGTCAAGCTTCTTTGACAGTTGATGGATATGAATTTCATAAAAAATGTTTTAAAGTAATGCTGAATAATAATTTACAAAGTTGTAAGTTGGCAAACTTTTTTATTATTAATTTTAGGGAAAAAAATTATTCTTTATAAATAATTCTGCATGTATACGGAGTTTGTCAACAATTATGAGATTTACTCAATAATAAAATTAACCACATAGCAAACAAAGCCTCAACTTACTAAGATACATATAAAATCTTACCGTGAATATTCCTGGTTTCGTTCCTGGGATAATGCGTTAAATGGCTAACTCGGTCAGTGGCGTCGTTGGTCGAGTACCGCCGAAACCAATTTTAACCCAAATAAAAGTTTCCCAAGTTGTGTGTGTGTGTGTCGGTTCTGAAGAGAACAACGAAGTGAAATCGAAATTAAGCGATGTCGAAAGAAACACGCCGCATTGTAGAATACTGAGCTTTCGTTTTTGGAAGCGCGAGACCAGATATTAAGTAAGTTCGACGAGTTGTGGCGATTATGTGATAAGTTTGCAACACACCGTTACTTTTTGCTAACTATACATGAAACTTAAAATATAAATGAACTATAAAACTTTTTTTTTTCTATCTCTGTCAGATTTTCAGAAAATATAGTACAACCCATAGTAGTTTTTATTCCTTTGTCCGACGCTGCCACGTGAAACACAACGTTTAACCGATTACGCAGTGTTGTCATATTTCAAACGAACGTGTAAGGTTTAGTATACCATTTGCGTTTGGTTGCTGTCTTCGATTAATAATTAAGTATATTCGAAGATGTGTAAGGAATAATTGTATTTTTTTCTTGTTGCAGCTGTACGCGCAGATCGGATGCGAGGCGGCAGAAACAAATTCGGTCCGATGTACAAGAGGGACAGGGCGCGGAAGTTGCAAATAATGCGGCAGCGGCAACTGGCCGCCCAGACATTAAGGGCTGGTGGTTCTCTGGGCGCGGAAGGCATTTACACTAACCAGCCGGGCACGTCGCCCTTCGCCAACATCCACATCAAGCAGGAAATCCAAATTCCCCAGGTATCTGTCGATCCGGTGTTTTGAATAGTATAGAAAGATATTATCTATAGCGTTTAGGGTTTTTGGTACTAAAAAAGGGCAACTTAACTGCATTCTTAAAACGGTAATAAAAGAAAAGTTACTGTCGATGACGGTTCCAGAGAAACGCGCGATTTTTGTTTTCGTCGAATCACGAAACACAGATTTTATCTAAACTTCAACCATCATGTTCTTGAAAGATAAAAATGCATGTTGTTTTTAAAAATCAATCAATAAATAAATAAAATTTAATAAACAATCAATAGTTATTAAAATTAGCGTCATTATATTCCAAACATTCTATAGTTATAGTCTATTTTAGAAAAATACTTAAATCATTTTTGACGTCAAGATTTCAAAATTTTTCCCCTTCTTTAGTGACATGCTGAACCGCTTTATTGCATTACCTTCAAATTGAATATTTTTGGTGGCTTATCGGTCGATAGCGTCTTGTTTTGTGACCGACAGCTTCCCTTATCCATCACTAAAGGGTTTTCCAATAAGAGTTGTTATATTGATATTCAAAAGGAAGTGGCATTTTCTCAGTTAAATGATCGGATGTTTATTTCAATGTAAACAGGAAGGTATGCTCTTAATAATGAAAGACAATATCAGCTAAATAGCCATCACGGCTACCCTGAAAGGGCCATATCCTTTTTATGAAATCGCTGCTGTATGCCCTGTAATCGTCCCAAAGGAAGAAGTCGCAAGGTGTTAAATCACAAAATCTCGGTGGTCAATTGTGATCACATCTTGGAGAGATTTTTCCACTAAAAGATCGATGGTATAGTTTTGGTTGGTCTCTATGCAAAATACGGTTTGCGGAATATACCAAAGAATGGACAAACCTGTTTTTTCTTCATCACTTAGCAGCAATGTTTTTGAGCGACGTGCATGAATTTTATTCTTCACATCACTAAGTTGACCCAATAGCTCGAATTCCAAAGCGACAACCTTTTACTACTGAATCAGGCGGTATAGCTGCTATAGTTGCTATAATAGACAAGATTTCGGTAATCGCTTACCATGTAAAATATGGATGCCATTCCCATTGGTTGTATTTCTTCAATCACGTTCGCGCGCTCATTATAGTAAGCTTATTTCGCAACTTAACGGTCCCGAACACAGATTGCGGCCATTAAGGCTGCTAATAATTACATATTTAACCAATGTTAGCCGTTTAAGCTTGTTTTTTTTTTGGTTTCGACGAAATAGTAGACCCATCTTTCCAAAGGCATAATGACTTAAATAGTTAATTACATTTATAACCACGAAAAACAGCCATATAAGGCACTGTTCCAAACAAGGGGCTCCCTTCTAAGATATTTTTGGACACAGAAAAGAAATATTGTGAACATTAGTTACGATTATATCTTGTACAAAATTTTAAATTTGTGTCACTTTCACTTGTTGTGAATTGGGGAACAACAACAAACTTTTGAAACATAACTAGGATGAAGGAGATTTTCATTATGTGAAACAGGACATTTTGTAGATTGCTGTACTGAAACTGGTTTGCATTCTCCTGTGTACTTGTTTATATACTGTTTGAGGGGGCAGAGCTAAAGGTGACAAAGACCTGAGTCGTGGTTAAGATTGTTTCATGTAAAGATTTCTACGGATTTTCGGATTTTTCTTTGGTAGGAGGATTGATTACATGCAAGAATTTTAGTTTCTTGGTTTCATGAGCAACTGCCGAGAGCTTTGTCGTAGGCTCTTTCATGTTTTTAGCCTAATTAATCCCGTTATATGTATGGAATGCCGTAAAATCTTGGAGGGTCACACCGAAGATGTTTAGAAATTTGTAGACAAGTGGTAAAAGTGTGATATTTTTTGCACTTCCTTCGAGGCCAATTCACAATAAATATATCAATCAACATTCACCAAATAAAACGTTGTATTTATACCTGACAACTTATCCAGATGCACACTTTAATTTTGTCGAATAACCTATATCTCGATCTTTCTACAGAGTAGAGGATCACGTGAATGCGTGAAAAACATAAATGTTGCTAGTGACAAACACGATCATAAAAACACAAAACGAAAACGCTAACGTACTCTGCCACTATAGCAATCGTTCCAACAATTTCTAAAATTATGGAAAAAATATTATACTCTCAAATAACAACAAAATTATTCCGGTTTAACCCAAGCGGAGCCTTTGCGGTGTTTACAGATGATATTATGATTACTCAGATAGTCGCTATGTCACTTTTCGAAGGTTTCTGATATTGCAATTTATTGACAGTTGCTGGTAAAGAATGGCATAGATCTAAAGATTCATGCATAATGGTTTTGAGACATGGGATGTGTATACCGATATTTTCAAGACTTTTGATAGAGTACATCATTCAGCACTGATTATAAAACTCGGAAATTCCGAAGTGCGCGGCGACCTCTTCCGACTATTGCAAAGCTATAGTGCAGCAAGAACTCGTGCGAATGTTACCTCTGATGTCCCCAAGGATCTCATCTAGTAATGGGTTAATATTTTTGTTTTCGATGAGGGACTTTTTTCACAGTTTCTATTATTTATGAAGAGATTCGTTCACATTTAGATATATTAGAGTCTCAGAGCGATCTTCACAGATTTACTTATTATTGTAGAAGCCACAGATTATTTTTAAATCTTGCTAAATGTCGATATATTCTATTCTCATATTCTTAAGATTTAAGCAAGTAAAAGATTTGGGGATTGTTGTTCTTTGAGGCCCATATCGAAACTGGGCTTCATGTTGACAACTACCAAAGGATCCAACAAGCATCAGTCACTAATAATCGTGTATAATAGCATGATAAGGTCTGTACTGGCGTACTCATTGGCATCTTATGAGCTATAACGCTAATTCATATCGGGTGCGAACGAAATTAACATTATCTATGAAGCGATTTAGGTCGAATTACTTTTCTAACTCCTATAATAAGATGCGGAATTATAATAATTGTGTTTGTCAAAACGACATAGATATAGATATGTTTAATTTAAGCCTTAGTTCATTGAAAACAAACGTTTATAAACTTCTTTGGCTCGTCGTTAAGATTTATTTAAATTTTAACTTTTGCTTTCATTGTAGAGATGAGAAATTGTTTGTATAACCCCATATTGTGCCATTCTGTAGTTGAGTAGCTGCGTCTAAATAAATAAATAAATTACTCCAATGCATTCGACAGGATTGACCACCGTCTCTTACTATCCAAATATAGATAATGTGGAAGAATGGATCATTAAATCTAGTTAACTTTTATTTTTGCAAATGCCATCAGGGACACTTTTCGTAATATGCAGCTTGCGTAAATGCCTTTCTCCAGCGTGGAATTTTTCATTCCGCAGGTGTCATCGCTGACATCGTCGCCGGATTCGTCGCCGTCGCCCATAGCGGTGGCGCTGGGTCAGGTCGGTTCCCAAATGGTTCAGCAGGCGTCGAGTCAGCAACCTGCGTTGCAGATCGTCGGGGTGCCGGGAAACGCGAACGGCACGATGCCCACCGTAATGAACGCCGACCAAAAGATCTGGGGTCAGGCCAATTCGACAACGACATCGCCCCATTCGCTCAGTCCCAAAGTGTTCCAATTCGAGACTGTAGTGCCGAGCGGGAGCGTGTCCCAGAACAAAGTGTCGCCCCTGATACGGGACTTCGTGCAGGCGATAGACGACAGGGAGTGGCAGAACTCGTTGTACGGACTCTTGCAGAGCCAGACTTACAACCAGTGCGAAGTGGACTTGTTCGAGTTAATGTGTAAAGTGTTGGACCAGAACTTGTTCTCGCAGGTCGATTGGGCGAGGAACTCGATATTTTTTAAAGATCTCAAGGTTGGTATCGCGGTAATGGTTTTGTTTAAATCTATGTATATAATCTCCACTCATTGTTATCATTATCCGGTGTTCCTCAAGGCAGCAATTTAAGCCCCCTTCTATTCAATATTTTTATTAATGACATTGTCGAAACTGTTGGTGCTAATTGCTTGTTATCTAAAGTTCTACAAAATTGATAGGTCTGCCAAAATTGACGTGTCTATATATGATTACCAAATCAATGACATCTTACTCCAGCGTCCAGCTACTTTTGTTGATCCAGGTGTCACTTTTGACCCTAAACTTTCTTTCATTTCTTTCATTAAAAACTCGGTACTACGCATTTGTTAAATCTAAATTAGAAGACGGCGATATTATATGGAGCCCGTTTTACCAAGTACATTCAAGGTAGCTGGAATCTGTACAACGAAAATTCTTGAAACTCTTGTCTTTCAGGCATGACAATAAGTATCCCCCAATTGATATAACCAATGCTTCGCTTCGTAATAGGCATAACGTACACAAATTAAGTTCTCGCCGCAATTGTCACTCATAATCAGGTTGTTGATCCGATCCTGGCCTCTTATTAAAATTGAACTTTGGCGTTTCCAGGGTTACCTCAAGAGCAGATGAAACATTTTGTCTTTCTACGCCTCCTACGAATATTTTATAATTTTCTCCTTTCCATTGGAATTCAAGGAATGGCATATAATCATTTTTTGTTTTATTTTACGTTGCATCAGTATTTCGCAGTCCTTTTGCGTTTTTTTTTTTAATTTGTCACTTATGTCCCTGCTCTGTAGTTGGGTTTATCTTATTGAATAGTGTATCTAAATAAATAAATAAATAAATTTTATCAGTCCTACCCCTCTGATACCGTTATCAATACCTCAATTTCTTTCTTAGTACTCTCCTTTTCCTTCTTCACGCTGGTCTCCAATTGAGTTTGCATAAAGGTGGTGGACCATGATTCAGTAGAAATACTGAGAGGTGGTCGAACTTCAATTGCCTTTATTTTTTGTTTACACCATGTTTTTGGCAGATGTATCACTACACGTCATCAAGTGTAGATTAATTTTAAAGCCTATATACTTGTTTTTAACGAATGCAGCATCCTTAAACTTGTGCCTTTTGCAATGCGGTCAACCCGAGCATCAGATCATTTGATCTGGTGTTGTTTCTTAAGTCTTTTTGCTTCTCCAATATACGACTCTCCACATTCACGGGGTATTTGGTAGAGACACCCTTTTCCTTAAGCCGATGTTTCTGGCTTTGTTCTGATACAGGTTCACCTTTGATGTTCAACTAATCTTTTCTGAGATTCCCTTCACTTATGGAATCACCAAGAGAAAGAGAAAGAGTATGTACCTTACATTGTTTCTCATTGCTCAATCAGTCCGAGGTGTATACGTTCTCATTATGCAGTGCGATGCCCTCATTTTTATATACAGGATGTTATTGAAATAACATCTTGTCATAGCGCGAGCGAATCTAAATGTCACTGTCATCAAATTTTCGTCAATTATATCAATTAATTAGGAACGAAGGAATCTGAGATTTTTATTTAATTGGATGACAGACGATATTTGCTGGTGCCAAATTAATGAGCGTAGTACACAATAAAATCAGCACAGGGTGACGATAGATACCTAGATTACTTAATACCCAAAATTTCACTGACCAGTTTTATACAAATAAAAAAAAATATATTTTTAAGTTGGCAGATATTATGTAGATTTTGGTTTTTTTTTTGTATATTTGCACTATTTAAAATAGAAACAATAAATAAAAAAAGACAATTTAGTCGTAACCCACGTGTGGGTGATAAAAGAGGTGAAAATAATTTGATATTCTCTGGTTAAAACTACATTACGACTTAACCAATAGTGAAACTACTATTACTTTAAATTATTACAGGGTGTCCCAAACAAGATTACTTAAGATTACTTAAAACTGCTATGGAACAATTCCAATTATTTGTTTAACTGTTTATAAATTTTTGATTTTCTAATTTTTGGGTAAAACTCGTTTGGGTTTGTTAATTTCAGAGAAACGACGTATGCCATACAAACACTCCAAAAATAGACAACATAACAAACAATACAATGTTGCCGAGTGGTCTGAAAAGTCTTGCGGTATTTTAACGAGTTACGAAACGTATTTAATCGATTTATTTGGTTCATGGTTATGATTTTTCTATTTGTAAACTGCAACGCCCACTTTAATTAATTGGTTATAAGGCGAAAATGATTTTCTAAATTACATTTCTGACGACTTAATGCTACGTCGATTCTGTCATGTAGATATTGAAATAATAATTGCAAAGAATATAACAGTTGAAAGTGTTCTTAATAACATGTACGGAAGATTTCATATGGTACTTCTGATATAAGATTCGTTCATTAAATTATATGATGCGCATTCAAAATACCCTGACCTTGATAATCGGCCTTTGAACGGGTTGAATTGCTTCCTCGCATTGGTTGAAATGTCATCACTAGATCGATCGTGAATATTTCATTAAAAAAAAAATCGTTAAAGTCGTAAACGTTAAGGAACTACGCCAAAAGATTGGCAAAAAATTAGTCTTGTTTAAGTGTAAATGTTCTAAGATGCAATCTAATTATTGCTTAGTATTTTGTTATGTAGTTATCCTTTTCACTCGAATACCATACAACGTGTCCTTCTGGTGAATAACGTCAGAGAATACTGTTCATCATAGCTCTTTAGAGACATCATTGAAGGGCACATCGGCGCTTCTTTGTAATTTGTGGCGAAATGGAAAGTATGATAACTAAGGGATGTATATGGGGTTGCTCAAGGGAGCTTGTTGGGTCGTCTTTTGTCTATGAAGATGAAATTCATTTGGCCCTATCCCAATAGATAACTTGCTGCCAGTATAACAACCTGACATCCCTATTAGACTGGCCATAAGGGAACATATGCTTAGATTTTTATTTTGATTAATTCTTGAATATTTATAAAAGAAACCTTAAACCGTATAACGAAAGATTTATTTTGTTTTAAAAAAGTACATATAAATACAAGAATGTATTTTGTGTGGTAAGTACATATATATACCCAAAACCATTTTGTAAAAAAGTCCATTATTAGAGTTTCTTCTTCTTTGTCTTCTTCATCTTCATCACTACTTTCTAGATGTTCAGTTTGACCAATTATTTCCTCTACTGCAGGCATATTGGTTATCGCAACAAAGGCGATACTGGACCTATGAAATAGTTCATATTAACATAGAAAAAAAAAAGGTTTTACCTATTGCTTGAATTTTTATGTTTTAAATAAAAAATAATAAATAAAATAAAGTGTCGATAGGCGTTACCACCTTGGCAAATAGCCCATTTGTCATACCTATGAACGCTTAATAATGAAGGTTAAAATTGGTCAGGTGCGAAGCACTTTGGGATAATAGCTTATTATTGCAATAATTTTGGTTTTATCCTATTTGAATTGCACTGAATCGAGTTTAAACTTTATTTTCCTTGGGACACTAGAATATTGACTCTTTCCTACTATTTTTTTTTTATTTTTGACTATAATGAATATGAAAACTAATCCTAACTCAATAACTCAACATTCTGCATAATAGTTAATTATTTTCATCCTAATTCAATTGGCATCCCGTCAGGTCAAAAATTAAATCGATCCGTTGCATTTTCGACCATTTTTTACTACATTCGCGAATGTTTGTAAACGAAAATGTCCGACAACGGACCCGTTTCGACTCGTAGAAGTTTTGTCCACGACCCGAATGCCAACTCAAGTCGAACGTTGTAATCTCGGCCCGTAATTGAGCAATTTTTTTTTGCATTGTCAAATTGTGCCGCACTTAAAATACGCTAACGACGTTGTTTAACATCGACTGTCCGAGATGGCGTAATCGTCGTCGTTTAATGCCGTTTTCGTTCTCGGCAAATGTTGACATCGTCTGGTTCGCAATTCCGAATTTGGTACAACTATTATATCCCTTTAAATTATAAAAAGTTTTCTAGGAGGAAAAACGTTTGTTTGCTCCATAGCTCTGGGGACAGTCTATTGTAGACTCTAATACGAGTGTTCGTAAAATATTTTTTTGAAAATTCTAGTGTAGTTTTTTTTTATGGAGAAACAATCTTTGTTGCGTGTATTATAGTCGTCGAAAGCTTCGTTTTATTGTAAGGTATTTTTATTTTTATATACCCATACACAAAATTCTAATATGTATATACATGCCAAAGGCAGCATTTTAAACTCCCGGAAGAGGGGCCTGCACGAACTATCAACAAAATGTTTATTAAAGTACCACAAGAAAGTGAAGTAAAAAATGTCAAATTTTCACTATCGCACTGGAGACGCCCGTAAATCTGAAGGAAATTTTTGTTACAATTTCTGCCTAGATACGAGGGCGCTTCTAATAGTGTAACTGAGTTTACTTGTTTACTGAATGTAATTGATAAGCACCGCCTTTACCGAAAATTATATCAAAAATTATTTATACAACGAAATTTATAGTTTAAAAAATATATAGGGAGCCAAGTAAAAATCTTTTGTTCCCGAATATGGAGGTGAATATCCCTTTTCCGCTTAATCGTAATAATAACAACGAAACTTTGTTTTTGTTTAGAATGAAAATAGTCGAAGATCGATGAGTCATCGGTAAAAAATGCGTAGGAAAGTGAAGCCAACATAAACACAGCATAATATTGTCAATGATGCACATGCATCCTTCGCGTTCTCCTGATTAGATTGGAAGTGGGGTTTCTACCTTTTGCTGCTGAATATTTGCACAGTTAAAGAGAGACGCGCAAACGTAGAAATTCAATAAAACTGTCAAAAATGTCTTCAAAAACATCAGCGTTTTGATCGTAATAGTAGTAAGCCGTCGCCAAATCAATTTTTTCCGACCAATGATTTTTTTAAATTGTTTCACCCTTCATTTACCCAAGTTTGAGCCAGATAAATTTTAGTTTTTTCTTCGAATTAATTTCGTCTTTTTGTCGGGCTTTCATCAACATATAATA